GAGCCAGAGTGGACTTCTAAAAATATACCAGATCTTGGCACTCCTCAGTCCATCAGTGGATAACCTCAGATCCTTAACACGGCCTCAGCACCCTGCATGTGTCTCCCACCTCATCTCATGCTTTGCTAAGCTTACTGCACTGAAAACACACTGACCTTCCTTCTTCAAAACTGCCCAGTTCTCTGCCACCCCGGGGCCTTTGCAGTTTCCTCTGCCTGGGACCTCCTGCCCCTGCCCTTCCTGACTTCTTAGTCTTCAGACCTCTTCTTAAACACCTCTTCAAAGAGGCCTTTCCCGAACACTCTTGTCAACCTAAGTTAGATCCCTTTATTCCCACAGGCTACCACTTACATTTGTGATGCTTTGGTTATTATCGTTCATGCAGTCTAACAGTTCTAAGACAGAAAGACTTTATCCCTAATACCCAGCATGGTGCCAGATACACAGTAGGTGATCCGTATTTGTTAGAAGCATAAATATTTTTCTGTCTTCACAAATATAATCTAATAGCTACATAATAATAGTTATTCATTAATTAATGGTTTTAATGAAATATTTGTTTCATATGCAGCTGAGAGAACTGAACTTTCATAGTCAGAAGAAAAAAATATTTGAAGTCTGTGTGTCAGCAGCATCAGAAACCTGAACTCACTAATAACATTAGGTATACACACAGTAAGTTTAATTTTGCTGTTGAAATAAAAAATATATAGCTTATAGGTTTTGAAATCAATTTAGTAGGTGTAAGCAGTACTGATTTTAAAAATAGAACAGAATGGAAAATGCCTGAGTACACTGCAGGTGAGAGGATAAGAATTATTTTGTGTAACTTTTGTTTCCATTATATACAGATAAACTACAGCTAGAGCGCTGAAGTGTGTACTGTAGTATAAAATACAGTTCTTCCTGGGTTGCAGTTAAAAAATTGAATAAAAAACAACCAAGAGCATGCTGAAAACAAAGAAAAAAATTGAAAAACATTTATTTCAGTGGCTTGCTTTTGGAATCATGCAAACATTTTAAAATTCTCAGGTCTTGCCTGACAAATTACTTAGTCTGTTTTCTACACGCTCATCATTCTGATATTGCTGGTGATTATATACTTCAAGGATTTGAAATACAGGAGATTTCTAAGGCTATTTCTTTTTAAATAAATATTTTATTTTGAGCTAATTTTAGATTTAGAGAAGAGTTACAAAGATAGTATAGAGTTCCTAGTTTCCCCTATTGCTAACATCTCCTATTACAGTGGGATATTTGTCCTAAGGAACCAGCACTAGTCCATCAATATTACCAACTCCAGACTATCAGAGTTCATCCATTTTCTTCTTTCTGTTCCAGAATCTAACCCAGACTGCCATACTGCATTTAGCTGCCATGTTCTTTAATTTTCTCTGGTCTGTGGCTGTCCCTTGATCTTCTCTTGTTTGTGATCACCTTGATAGCTTTGAGGACTACTGGCCAGGTATTTTGTAGAATGTTTCTGAATTTGTCTGGGGTTATGGGTTTGGGGAAAAAATACGCAGGTAAAACGCCTTTCTCATCATATTCTACTAGGAGAAGTACATGTCAACACATCACCGGTGATGCTAATCTTGATCACTTGGTTAAGGTAGTATCTGCCAGGTTTGTCTACTGTTTTCCCTATTTCATAATTGTTCATTAGGACCAAATCACTGACCCTAAGACCCACCTATCTTTAAGTGGGGACGGGGTGGAGTGATCGATGGTGGTGGTTTAAACCACGTATTATTTGATATTCTGTCATAAGAAAGAGTTGTCTCTTCTCCACTTATTCACTTACTTGATAATTTATATTACTAATAACTCATATGTATTTATTTTATATTTTGTGTTATAATCCTATACAATACTGCTTTTTTGGGTTTTTTTTTTTTTTTTGCTCAAATTGTTCCAGTTTTGATCATTGGGAGCTTTCAGTGTGTCCCTTTGAGTACTTCCTTACTTTCTGGAATTATAAGATGCTCCAGGCTCAACTTGTATTTCCCTGCCTCAGACATAGGATCAGCCATTCCCCCAGAAACTAGCTTTTGAAAGGCAATTAGCCAGAGAAGTGGAATGTTGCCTATTAGGCATGGAGGGCACACAGTGCTTCTCTGCCCAGGGTGTGCTGTGGAGACTGGGGACAATAAAAGAAGAGGAAGGGCTCCTTGTTGTTTTTTTTTTTAATTTTCCCAGCTTGGATGTAGTTCTCTGGCAAGTTACCCAAGGTTATCTGATCTGGCCCGGTTAGAATGCAGAATGTTCTGGAAGCCTTTGCTGCCCACAGGGAATGGCAGACATTCAGAGTCCCTAGCTTGTGTTGGTCAAGGTCTGGCCTCCTGGACTTCTAGGGCATCACTTGTCCTGCTTATTTTCAATTATGCATCTATCTAACACCAGTTTGTATATTCTCTAAACCATTGTTTCAGATTTGACTTCTACCCTAACTCCTCCCTCTCATGCATGCTCAGTGGATTCCCTGCTCCAACAGGCAAGCATTCCCTCAGCCTCTCCCGCCTTCCCTAGGACTGCTCCTCTTCCCCCTTCCCAGGCTAACTCTTCATGCTGGGCCTCAATCTCACCCTCTCCTGATTTCTCCAGGACTACCCCTCTTTCTCACATCTTCAGCTCTGTTCCCCTTCACTGGCTCCTTTTACTCAGCCTAAGAGGATGCTCAAATTTCTTAGCAGAGACTTTCCTTGGCCTTGCCTCAACCCACCCCCCACCCCCCCTACCCCCCCACCCCCCGCCAGCACAGAATCTCTCTCCTCTTTACTTCAGGCTTCTTGAAAGAGTACATTTCACTGGTCATTGCCCTTGGTCTCTGGGGCCACGGAGACCAAGGAGATGGGAGATTTTCTAAAGAAAAGGGTGGCTATATTGGCTTCCATGGAGGGTCCCTGGTAGGGAAATTAAGTGGCCCCTCTCTTGGAAAGATTTCAAGATGATGAAACAGTGTTAGTAAAGACCACTCTGGAGGATGAGACTGAATGCTACAGCCACCTAGGAGAGTGCTGGAGACACATGACCCAATCTGGCCTTCTGCTAGGAGGTTAGAGAAGAGGAGAGGAAGTCATTCTCCACACAGGTGGCAGCCAGAACCTACAGGAAAGGAAACAGGCATCCACTTCCAAATCTTGTCTTATCTACCCTTCCTCTCCTCATTCCAGGGTTTGGCCTTTGTCCCAGAGTGACAGCACTTTAATCACAGAGCATTGAACCTCACGTGGACTCACACCTCCAAGATTATCCTGCTTCACTATCCAGCTGACTATGCTGAAGCAGCCACAGTGATTCACCACCCCACCTTGTTTAGTCTCTTTGCATCTTACCAGACCGATGCAGTTGTGCCCTTTCCATTAGTGGAGCAAAGGGAAACTCCCATTCAGGTCTTGGAGCAGTACTCACCCCTCAGCACAGACTCTTGTCTTCTGGTGCCCTACTCCACCTGAGCTGGCTTCTGCTGTCCAATCTTCTTTTGCTGATTTCTCTCCTTGACCCTGCCAGGAACAGCTTTCCCTCAAGTGCCTGGCTCGGCCCTGATCTTTATAATCCAACTCATGAGAGAGAAGCTTCCTCAAAGGCTAAGTGCAGACTCACCTGTTCTTTCCCATCCCCTCCAATTTTGTGTATGTATGACCTGGCCTATTTGCTTATTCATTCACTCAACAACTATTTATTTATGCAACGTTCTCAGGCCCAGTTCTAGGTAGTGGGGTGGTATAATGAGCAAAAAGACATGGCTTCCTAAATTTGCAGATGCATCTGGGAGACATATTAAACAAGTATTTTCTAACAATATGTTCAATGAAGAAAATGAAGGTGCTCACAGTCTCTTCCTTGTGATTAGGTAAAGCTTATGAAGGAAGTGACAGTTGAACTGAGATCTAAAGAATGAGTAGGAATTAACTAGGCAAGGGAGTGGGAGTGACAGGGATAAGAGAGGAGAAAGTCTTCCTAGAGGGAGAGGATTGCAGATTGGGCTGGGCCAGCCTTGTCCACACATTCAGTGATCTCTGTTTTCATCCTAAGGGCATCAAGAGGAAAGCCACAGCAGAGTGACACGATCAGATTTGCATTTGAGGAATTACTGACCACCATGTGACACAAGGATTGGAAGAGGGTTTGTGGTCCGGTGAGAAGACCCTGGAGGTTAGCAAGTGACATTTGTGGTCCCAAGAGAGGGCAGGGTTAGGGTGATAGTGCTGCTCCATCTACGTGTCCCTTGACTTTCTTTTGCTGTCCTGAGATGCCAGGCTTAGGTGGGTCTCAAAGACGATGGCCCTATAGGGCCAGAAGGGGTGAAGTCAGGCCAGTGCCAGCCTTTGGTAGGGAATCAAGACTTGGTCTGTGGAGAGGGGATTAAGAGACCACTCTTCTTCAGTTCTACTTTGCCTCTCCAATTTCCCTTCCTCTGAGAATAAATCCAAGCCTGACGAAGCCTTCTTAAAGCGGGAACCCAACGTGTGCAGTGGCCCCCATCCCATCTTTACCCAGGGAAGAGCCCAGAGCATCTGTTTCGACCTAGAGAACGCTCCCTTGCCATGCTTCCTGAATGTCATATGGTGGGTACCCTACGGCCGCCCAGGCTGGCAATGGCTAGGAAAGTGAAGGTGGACTTTAGGGAAGGGCATGGCTGTGCCCATCTCAGATTCTGGAGACCTGAGTTCTAATCCCAGTATGTGACCTTGGGCAAATCACTTCCCCTCCTCGGGTCTCGGTTCCCCATCTGCACACCAAAGGTAGCCTCGAGTTACCACCAGCTGCGAGTGGGACTTCAAGCCGGGCAGGCGGGATGCCCGCAGGTGGACACGGGCGGGGGCCCAGGCCAGGTCAGCAGAGAGACGGGGGGCTGCGGGGAAGCCAGCGGCGAGCGCGCGGCGGTGCGGGGACGCTGGCCGCGGCCGGGGGCCACGAGGTTACGTAAGGAGCGGAGCGGGGCGGGGCGGGCACCGCCCGAGCGCGGCCGCCCAGCCCCCGGCGCCCAGCCCCCGCCCGCCCGCGCCTGGCGGCGGCGGCAGTAGCCGCGCAACCCCGCGGAATGGAGCGGCGCCGGGGCTGAGCCGGGCGCACTCGGGCCGCCGCATGTGCCGCGCAGGGAGCGGCAGCCGAGCGGGCGGACAGCGAGCGCGAGGGGCCCCGTCGGAGCGGCCGCCGGAGCAGCGCCGGACATGGGGTGAGTGAGCCTGCGCCCGCGCGCTCCCCGCATGGGCGGCGGGAGCCGGGAGCGAGCGCGCAGCCGGCTCCGAGAGCCCGGCCCGCAGCCTCCGCGGGCGCTCGGACACCCGGCGGACAGCCTGGCCCGGAGCCGCGGCCCTTCCCCGTCCGGCCGGCCGGGGCGCGGGGACACCTGGTGGGACCGACCCCTCGCGCCTGGCCTGCGTTTGTGAGTGAGCAGAGCAGTTCGTGGTTCTCCACGGTTGAATTTCTTACAGGCAAAATGGAAATCGAAGTTTTCCTGGAAAGGAAACACAAATAACAGTAACCCTCCCGCGTAGGAATAGGGAGCTTCGGGTCTGCTGGAGATGGCGAGGATGGTGGAAGGCTGTCAGGAGCCCAGCGAGGCTTCAGGCGTAGAGACAGCTGAGTACACGCTCAGGAGGGAAGTTGAGATACTCGGAGAAGTGACTAATGCGCCTGAATAGATAAAGTAATTTAAAAGGTAGGATTGATTGCTCCCCGGCGCCTCTCCGAGCAGTAGGCGCTGTGAGTCAGGGAGCCACTGTGCTAATGGCACGGTAACTACATCTGCTCGCCCTGTGTAGCTGTATGCTGATGGTGTGCGTCCATTTTCAGGTCTCTGTGCTCATTCTCAGGAACCTGAGGCCCGAAATAGTTTGGTGACTTGGTCCACGTTGCACAGCTGATGAGCGTTTACAGTTAGTGGGAAGGGGGACACTTGGTGGATGGCATGGGCAGCGGCATGGGGTGGGTAATCGAACCAGAGTTCTACAATGACCGTGTCCCGGCTTTTGAGCCCAGTGTTCTCCAGTCTTTCACGGGACCCATGCGGGTTTGGGGATTTCGTCTGGGATGGGTGCCACGTGGGAAGGCAAGGGTACAGTGGAAATGAGGCAAGATTGTCCTAGTGGCCTGACCCAGGCTTTATTGTGCCTTACTGCAGGTCACTTTCTGAATTCATTTTGTCCCAGAAGCCATCTCCATGGGCGCCGTGGTGTTTGGAGGAAGCAGAGGCAGGCTAGGAGGAAGAGAAGTATCAGGACTGTACTCCACATAAGCTGGACATGGGGACAGATAGGGATCGGGGAGTTTGTTCAGGACCCTGGTGCCCAGGCAAGAGATTTCACGCATATTGCATCCATGGGTGGTTTTACCAGAGGCACCCTCGCTGCCAGGCAGTTTTGCTGTAACCTTTCCAGTGATCCCTCAGCACACGATGAAAGAGCTGATCTTTGAGCAGTGGGAACCCTTGTGGTTCTCAGTTTTCATACTTAAAAATCTTTGGGACCGAGTTGGCAAACGTAGGTCTCTAGATGCAAGATAAAAGGGATCTGGTAATTTTAACATTCTCTCTTTCTCTCTCTCTCTCTCTCTCTCTCTCTCTCCCCCCTCCCCTTTGTCTCTCTGCCCTCCCCCCAACACAAAACCTATCCAGCGTACTTGTGCAGTCAAAAACAAATATTGAAACTCTTGTGGTTAAGATCAAATAGTCCTGTGGAAATGAAAATGTTTACTCATAAAAGCTTAAAGAAAATGTCAGAAAATAATTTTTGTTTGTAGAAAAGCAAGGAGGAGTAGCTTAGGGATTTTGTTTTAACACAGAACATGTCTTTCATATAATTTTAATATCACCCGACAAATGTATATTCCCACTTCTTGTAGGTAAGGACTGATTTGTAACTCACCTCTTGCCATTTTAATATATGTTTCTTGAATAGTTTATGTGAATGTGCAAACCATGGTTCTAAAATGAATCAGAGCTAAAGGCTGGACTTTAGACAGGAGGTGGAGGAGCCATTTTAACCAAAAATAGAACCAGTGTCATCCTTCGGGAGAGTAGTGTAGGATGGAGGGGGAAGAACCAAGAAAGGGTAGCCAGTAGCAAACTTTGCTGTGGTCGTACCACATAGGCAGGACCAGGACTTAAGGAAATAAAACAGTCATCTGAGTTTACCTCTCCCCACTTAAGGATGCTTTCCCATTTCTCTTTTGTGAAGTGTTCTACATGAAGCATGTGGTATCTGCACTGAGTTTGTGCTGTCATTCTTCCTAGGCAGCTATTTCATTCCTGCTCCCTTTTTCAGACCTCACTCCCCCCTTTCCTTACACACCCCCTGCCTTCCTTTTTATTGACAGAAGAACCACCACAGACCAAGGGAATGTCTTTATCTTCCTGCTGTGCTTATAGTCTAGCTTGTACCTTCTCCTTCCCACCCATTTGCAGAATGGCCATTTCTCTCCTGCTGTCCTCTTGGCATAGCATCCATCCACCCCCTCACCTTTTCAGAGGACCACTTCTTTCCTTCCTTCCTCTCTCCAGAGTTTTTTTCCCATCACTGCTGGAGCATCCTTCAATTCAGCACTGTCCAATAGAACTCTCTGCAGTGCTAGAAATGGTTTCTATCTGCATGGTGCTGTAAAGCAGCCATCAGCCACATGAGGCTTTTGGGCACTTGAGATGTGCCTAGTGTGACTGAGGACCTGAGTTTTTAATTTCAAAGTTATGGGTAGCTAGTGGCTGCCATATTGGACAGCCCAGCATTTGCCTCTTCCTTCTTATAAAGGAGCCTTCCCTCCATCCTACATATGTTCCCTGCTGTCACTCTACCTCTCTGTTCACATTCTCAAGACACCTCAGAGAGTCACACCCACGCTCTCCATCCACTTTAAGTCCTACCCTTTGTTTGCCTTCCACACTCTATAGTCTAGCTTCTGCCTCCCATTCTGCACCAAAACTGCCAGATCTCTGCCCTCATCTTGCTCTTCCTCTCAGCCATATTCCTCACAAATGGCCACTCCAGTCCTCATCTCAGTTTCTCTGACACCATAGTCCTCTGGCTTTCCGCTTACCTTCCTAGTGTTCCTTTTCAGTCTTGCTATGGCTGCTCCTCTGTCTGACTCCAGATGATGGGATTGCTTAGGGACTGGTCCTTGTCAGCCCTTTCTTCCTAGGTGACGATATCCCATTCCTAACCTATTCCCACCACTCCCTACAGCATTTTTTTTTAATTTACAAATTGTCATTTATTCTGAATTATAAAAAAATCAAAACTCCAAACAAGTACTGTTTAAAACTTCCTCTGATGTCATATTTGAAATGATATGATTACAAAATACCTTTTAAAAAAGTGTATCATTTATTTTATCTTTATTGGGGGGAACTGGAATTTGAACTCAGAGCTTCACGCTTGTTAGGCAGGAGGTCTGCCACTTGAGCCACTCTGCCAGCCCCATTTATTTTATCTTTTTATGGCTATAATTACCAACTTGTAAGAAAACTACAGCCATATCAATACTTGACAGGATTTTGAGATCTAATAATTGGACATTGGGCAGTATGCAAGTAAAACATCATTGTAGTTTTCATTAATCAAAGGAAATATTTCATTCAAGTTCCCAAAAGAAATTTAAGGCATTATCTTGAATTGAAGAAAACAATACCAAGTTAAAATATGGAAACAGTTTTGTTTAGCAGGAGCTGAAATCAGTGTATACATTCTAACCAAACATCTGACCCATATGTTATTTTTTTTGAGTTTTGAAGGATCTACTAAGCCAAACCCTGCATTGCTTGTGTTGCCTTTGCTTCCCCCTTTTTTTTCCTCACTTTGCCTTCAGCCTTTTCTCCTGCCTTTGTTTCTTCCATACTAGTGCTGTCCATGCTAGTCTGGAAGTCTTTTTGTTTCTCTTAATCTCAGTCTCCATGCTCTTGTCCTCTTGTCTTTTTTTTTTTTTAATCCTTCACCACGCATTGCATGTTCTTTTGGCATTGTTTGGGTACCACCACAGCTGCCTTCTCTTGAACATCGTTCATTAAAACATTACTGTCTGCTTTGAGAATACTTGTAAGTCTGTTGAGCCCCTTTGGGCATTCTTTGTTCCCTTTTTTATGTACTGTGTAAGCTTTTAGCTATGTTTTACCTAAGAAATACGAACGCACCCACCTCCTAGTGGCTTTAAACACTGTACATACTGATGACCTTGAGTTTTTATTCCCAGTACACTTTGCTCAGGGCTTCCAGCTCTTGTCCACACCTGGAGCTCCTGCTCTTCCTCTCACCTTCCCTCCGTCTTCCTCATCCCAGCCAGTGGCCCCACTGGCTATTCATTTGCTAAGAGTATCCTTGATTTCGCTTCCCTGTCTCCCACACCCAGGCTGTTAGTTGATCCTGTGGGATCTACTTCCAGGATACATCTGGAGTTTGTCTACCTCTCCCTATAATCGCAGTTCCTTTTCTAGTCCTGCCCATTATTGCCTCCTTCCTGATAAATTTCCTAACCCACCCACCAGCAGGTTGTCTCCAGTCAACTCGGCACACAGGAACCACAGTGATGGGTTCTAAAATCACAAATCAGATCATGTCACTCTCCTCCTTACATACGCTTCTGCAGATGAGGCTGTGGCTCCTGTCTCATCTCCAGCCTCCCAGTCACTCTGCCAGTGTGCCTCACCACATTTAGTACTTCTTGGCCTCCTTTGCTTTTCTTGCTCTGCCTGGAATACTTACACCCGGGCTCTGCAAATGCCTCTTCTCTTCTTCAGATTCAGTATCGGGGCCACCTGCTCACCATATCATCTCAAACACTCTTTCCAGCATCTCTTTCAAGTGGCCTCACCTTTGTATCCTGCAGTTAGCTTGCCACAGCACACGGGTAAGCATCTGGGCTTTGTTTACTTATTTATAAGCTGTCTTCCTCCAATACCATCCCACAAAGATAGGACATTTCCACAGTTGTCTCCCGGCACCTAACACAGCATCTGGCACCTTATGCGTCTGCAATATATATTTTTTGATTGAGTGAGTGCTTGAATATGGTGGGCAGCCTTACTTGGATGCTAGCCTGGAAGTTGTGATAATTTTTGGATTACCTTTTATATAGTTTGCTTAATTGGGAGTCACTAGGGCCAAGAGGGAAAGAGATCGCTTAGAAGCAGTTTTCTTTTAATGCTAAAGCAAGCAATTTAGCTTTTATGGTGATGAGAGTTAATTTTTG